CCTCTGGCCGTAACAGTTTTTAAAAGTTGGTAATATCAGTTGTCCTTTTGTAACAGATCTAGTTGAATGACCACTTCCAGAATTTGATTTGGTTAAAATAAAATTTGGTGTTAAAATATGTTTTTAAAAATTTACAAACCTACAAACTACAGTATTTTTACAGTCTTTATTTTACAGTTAAAATAAATGTTTATCAAATAAAATCTAATGTTAAACTAATCAGGGATCCTTGTAAGACTGACATGAGAACATAGAGCATTAGAGCACATGCACATTTCCTCACAGTGACAGTAAACTGTAAACAGGTCTAAAAAGATTCATTGATGTCAGCTGGTCTGATCAGAGCTCTCCTGACTGAACATACTGTATAATAAAGAGGAAAAAAATGACGTTAGTTTAAATAAAGACACTTATCTGGGTGAGTTGTGTCAGGCATCTGCAGCCTCTTCTTTAACGTGAGTTCACTCGTCATCGTTCACCCCGAAGTGAAGAACTGGATCAAGTATGCCCGCTTCGAGGAGAAACACGGCTACATCGCTCACAGCAGGAAGGTGTACGAGCGGGCCGTGGAGTTCTTTGGAGAGGAGCACATGGACGAGAACCTGTTTGTGGCCTTCGCCAGGTTTGAGGAGACGCAGAAGGAGGCGAGTGCTGCCGGGAGGGGTTTGTTGAGAGGTAGCTTTGAAGGATGCTCTCACAGTGTTCTCTGTCCCTCACAGTTTGAACGCGTTCGGGTCATTTATAAATACGCTTTGGACAGAATCCCCAAACATCAGGCTCAGGAGCTCTTTAAGAACTACACCATGTTCGAGAAGAAGTTTGGAGACCGGAGAGGCATCGAGGACGTCATCGTCAGCAAACGAAGGTTCCAGTACGAAGAAGAAGTTAAGGTAGCTCCAGCTGACCTGATGGAAGGTGGTGGGCAATACCATTCCTTCATGACTGATAGGAGGATCTTTGTGTGTCCAGGCAAACCCTCACAACTACGACGCCTGGTTCGATTACCTCCGCCTGGTGGAGAGCGACGCAGACCCCGACACGGTGCGCGAGGTTTACGAACGAGCCATCTCCAACATCCCCCCCATCCAGGAGAAGAGGCACTGGAGGCGCTACATCTACCTGTGGATCAACTACGGCCTGTATGAGGAGCTGGAGACAAAGGTGAGGAGCATTTTAAGTCCTGAAGAACAGCCGTCATCTTCACGCAAATTAAACACAATGTTCCTTTAACAGGACCCAGAGAGGACCAGGCAGGTGTACCAGGCGTGTCTGGAGCTCATCCCTCACAAGAAGGTACGGTTCAAAGGTTGGCTGCAGTCAAGGAGCTGCTGTATTGGCTGCTGACAGCTGCTGACGCTCTCTGTTCCAGTTCACCTTCGCTAAGATCTGGCTGCTCTTCGCTCAGTTTGAGATCCGACAGAAGAACCTTCAGAATGCCAGGAAGGTCATGGTGAGCTTCAAACACTTGAACACGTTAATGTTGTGGAGGTCAGCAGCAGTGGTCCTGACTGTTTGGAGGGGAGAACGCCTCTGATGAGTGTCTGTTATGACATCAGGGCACAGCCATCGGGAAATGTCCCAAGAACAAACTGTTTAAAGGCTACATCGAGCTGGAGCTGCAGCTCAGAGAGTTCGACCGCTGCAGGAAGCTCTACGAGAAGTACCTGGAGTTCAGTCCTGAGAACTGCACCACCTGGATCAAGTTCTCCGAGCTGGAGACCATCCTGGGAGACGTGGACAGAGCTCGCGCCATCTTTGAGCTGGCCATTGGACAGCCACGCCTAGACATGCCTGAGGTTTGTGTTAGCAGCTAGAACCTGAAGACTAATGAGCCCTGCTTTACTGACTCTGCTCCTCTGAGTGCTGCCAGACCTGCAGCTGTGGGTCTGTAGTGGATCTGGTCCCCAGAGGGTCTCAGACACCTGGAACCAGTTCTGACATTCCTTTTGACTCTTTAGATAATTCAGTTCATCTTAAAGTTCAGTCAGCTCATTATAAATATTAGATAAACAGCTAAACAACAGCTAAATAACTGCTGAACAACAGCTAAATAACTGCTGAACAACAGCTAAATAAGAGCCAGATAACAGCTAAACAGCTGAACAACAGCTAAATAACTGCTGAACAACAGCTAAATAACTGCTGAACAACAGCTGAATGACTGCTGAACAACAGCTAAATAACTGCTGAACAACAGCTAAATGAGAGCTACAGCTAAATAACTGCTGAACAACAGCTAAATAAGAGCCAAATAACAGCTAAACAGCTGAACAACAGCTAAATAACTGCTGAACAACAGCTAAATGAGAGCTACAGCTAAATAACTGCTGAACAACAGCTAAATAAGAGCCAAATAACAGCTAAACAGCTGAACAACAGCTAAATAACTGCTGAACAACAGCTAAATGAGAGCTACAGCTAAATAACTGCTGAACAACAGCTAAATAAGAGCCAAATAACAGCTAAACAGCTGAACAACAGCTAAATAACTGCTGAACAACAGCTAAATGA